GAATCACGTAGAATATACCTGGAATAGGAATGAACTTTTATTATCAGTTCTAGGCAAGAGTTCATGACAGGATCATTCAAACATTGAATCAAGTAATGGAATAGAACATTTTTTTACCCATTGAAAAGCTAATATTCTATAAGAAATGGAGATGTTCAATAATTACTACTACCCATACACGAGCATGTAATTGTCTGGAAGTTTGTCTATGACCAGCACCAAGCANATCTGGCACTACCAGGTCGGAAAACGGCCTAGTTAGGGAGTTATAAAGGCACAGAGATTGACCCGTGTGCATGCGTGGACGAGCTTCAACGACATTGTGGAGGCTGCACCATTCACAAGGGAATCCATATAGGAAGTTCAAACAACTTGTCATGACCGCGACAGTGAAGGGCAATTCGGTACTTTTGGCTTGATGTAGTCAGCTCTTTGTGCAATTACAATAACTGAAATCTCGTCCGAATACCCCTTCCATGTTAATTCCGTCATGGTAATCTCGTCCAGCCTCTACTTTCCCTACTTTAGTGGAGCTATATTTTTCTCGAAATCGGCGATCTCTCGCTCTCTTCACTATCGATGAACTATTCCCGATCCATACTTCCGCTTTTCGAATAAAAACGGTTACCTCAAAGTTATTGTAAACTATGCATTTACCCATTTTGAGAATTGCTTTTGAGATTTTTACAACATGTGCTTTTTAGAGGGCACCTAACATTGCGAAAATCCTATTATACAGAAGTCTAGACACCTGTGGGTGCTTTCAAGATAAAATTGCGGTGAACCAGTTGCCGACAACATTAAGGTAGCGGCACTTTTCTCCGAATTCCCATAGCGAGCGGCAGCGCCTACCGTACTCTTTCTTTAAGGATTCAAGCCCTTCCCTCCATAACGCGCGACTACGCGCGATCGGGAGCGGCTGTGTGACACGATTCTCGGGAAAAGATCCACATCCACTTTAGGGGTAGACATAGAATAGGAAGTATTCAAGCACCTTGGATTCTACTGTTATGAGAGTTCAGGTGTTCTCAGCTCACCTGTATATGTGTGTCAGTCTCAACAAATCTTGGCCTAACTAATCCCAACATATTCGAATCTTTCACATATATAGCATGTTCTGGATAGAAGGGTAATAGCAAGCGCATTGCTTGTAATGTTCGCTCAGTCAATCGAAAATCTGCGGTCGATAGCAGTGCAGGAATCACGTAGAATATACCTGGAATAGGAATGAACTTTGGAGAAATGGAGATGTACAATAACTACTACGACCCATACACGAGCATATAATTGTCTGGAAGTTTGTCTATGACCAGCACCAAGCACCTCCGTTCATTGCCCTATTGACTAGCCTGCGGTAGGGGACGGGCAGTAGGAACGGTTTTGTGTAATCGATCCACCGCATGTGACTGTCGCCGACCATTTGCCTCGTTATAACAGTTCTAGCGTTCTTAATACAGCTCAATCGCTATGCGATTATTACTTTTGGCATGGTTCTACTGTTAGTTCTTTTGTTCCCGTGAGCCTTACTTGCTGCTACAATCCTTCGCGCGCGGCTTCTCTCCGGCCGCGACGCGACAATTCCGTTCCTACTGCACCACACCCGCGGTAAGGTGGTAAGCTACACTCTGGTCTGCACGGTCTTATGGCAAGGTAGCACACTGGATGAGTTGCATGCTCGCTCATAAGACTATATAAGGTTCAAGGCTTCCTGAACATTTGTGGTATTTCTTAGACCATCATCCAAAGTTCAACTTTTGAAGCGTTCATGTGCTGATTTCCTCATTCTTCACTTTTAGTCTCGTGTGACAAAATGCTGCGAAACTACTCTACACGCGCAGTGACGAGAATGAGTGTTAGGATGGGTTACCGATTGACATCTGTAGGGGAAAACGCATGCAGTTAAACTGTCCTACCTGCTGCGACCATGAACCGTGTTTTATCGACACTTGCTCCAGTAAGTAAGTTGACAATTGTCCACATGCATTCCTGAAAAATTACGGATTGTAGAACTAATCTATCGACGATACAGCTGAAAGATCGAAGTGAATATTATTGGTCATTACGATGCATACAGTATTTTGTTGTGGCACAACTAAAACTTGCTTTTTTGAATTTTTTCTCTGTTGAAGTACAACCTTCGAGTAGCATCGCGAACACATTCCAGTCCAGGAACAGCAACTAAAATATGGACAATTAGCTCATTCTTCATTATAAACCACTTCATTCGTGACGCGTGGGAAGGAATGCAGGTAATGGTTTATTCCTCGTTTTTCGCTTAGCTACGAAAAGATGGAATTCGTACAGATTTCGCACAAAATTTCCTCTTCGCTTATTACAAAATCAGGGGTGTGGTGCAGTAGGAACGAAATTGTCGCGTCGCGGCAAGAGGGACGCCGCGCGCGAAGGAATACAGCAAAATGCAGCAGCAGGTAAGAAATGCAGAGACAAAGGAACTTATAGTGGAATCATGCCTAAAATAAGGATCGCATATCGATTGAGCTTTATGAACGCTAAAACCGTAATAAAGGCGAAAGAATGGTCCAAAAGGGTGTGGTGCAGTGGGAGCGAAATTGTCGTGTCGTTTCAGAGCTCACTGACTCAGAGTCAACTCACATCCGCATGATCTGGCCTACTTGCAGCAATGTTCGAGCACATCCAAGCAGCCTCTCGACGCACATCACAACGAGAATTGTACGACAGAGACCGAACCTGTGCTGCTATAGTTTATTGGGAAGCCGAATGTTGTTGATTTACACGGAAACGATCAAAGTAATCTTTAAGAATTCTTGAAAACAGACCAAAATTTCATAAAATCGAGGATGCGTTATGATGGCAGCCGTCTGGATGTCATTCCCAGTGATTATGTTGCCTAATATTCGAAGTGCGGCGTGATGAAGTTCACCTACGGTCTGAAAAAAATTGATAACGACCTGCTATATTGTTTACTTGTATCACTAATCTATTATTTAGATCGGATGATTATTACCTAGATTTCAAATAAGAAAAGTAAGACAAGAGAGAAACAGCGGAACAAGACAGGAAACGCAACCAACATAACAGCTCACCGAATCCAGAATCTCGAATGCCAAATCTACCAAGCCTGGCTCGTTCAGTACTACTTCGATCTGAAAGCATTCGAAATGTTTTCGCCTCTAGTGGCCGATAGCCTATCATTGCAGATTGCAATATTGCAAAACCAAAGATGACTTTCCGAAAATTTCAAAAGTTTCCTTAGCCTCTCAACATTCAGACAAGCACTCTTCCTTTAGAAAGCCAAAACTGTTCGGAATTGTCTTTCACTATCGATATGGTCAATGACAATGTTTGAAATTCCTACATGGGCCTCTTGTGAATGGTGGAGTCTCCACAATACCATTAAAACACGTCCGCTGTGGGTGTTGCATTCAGATGATACAGTGTCTGGCAGTTTATTGTGCCCTATCTCCTGACATCGGCACATATGGTATCATGAGAGGCCTCGAATTCATCCTATGGAAGATCTCAGATATTTTCGTGAGCTGCGCCTTTAAAAAGTCAACTAACCGTCAACTGTGATATGAAACCATCTGTTTTTCCCTTACAATACCAAAATTATTAGCGGTGTCACTGCCCACCTGAGTTCCCTGATGCATATCGTCAGCTATAGACGCCAACGTCCATAAGCAATCTTTGGCGAGGTCGGTCCAGACGGCATACCGTTTTGCGATTTCATGTAGGGACGACACCAACATTTGTATCGTCTAGAATAAAATAGTATTCCACCTCTTTATATAGGTCAGTTACTGCTTATCCTTAAACAAGCCTAACTGGAAGTGGTACGGTACTGTTTCGGAGACCACCACGCATCACGTTCATTGCACACCATACAATATTCTTCAGGTCACTCAGCTCGGTGTGGGTTCCTTGAACGAGTATACGGGCTATCACCTGGAAACGTCTCAATTACATGGTTCAGAGTGGTCATTCAAAAGGAAATGGACGTCAGCTAATTATCCTTAACCCTCCATTACATTATGTAATTTATAAATTGTTGAAGTCCAAATGAAAATGTTTATGAATAAACAAGCATACGGTAAGAAGCCCTGTTNAAATGGACGTCAGCTAATTATCCTTAACCTTCCATTACATTATGTAATTTATAAATTGTTGAAGTCCAAATGAAAATGTTTATGAATAAACAAGCATACGGTAAGAAGCCCTGTTTCGCGACATTTCCTCTTGCAGTCAGCGCAGTCGGCAGCTATGTTGCCCAGTGCCCAAATGCACTGGATACGGAATTCTCCTGTACCAGATATGACACCAGCTAGCAAAGCTTGGATTCCGTCCTAAAAGAGTTAATTAAAAAAATTCATGCTAAGTCACTGTCGGAGCTCGAGCGATAGCAAACCAGGATGTGGTGGTGATTGTGACAGAAACATATGATACTTATCGCTTCGGTACATGGGTAACAGCTTAATCTTGGAGCCTCAAGCATATAGAAAACCCCAGGACAGAAAACATTGTTAGAAACCTGGGACAGAAATCTGTGATTGGAAACCTGGCAGATCAGTTTGATGAACAAACAAGTCAGATTTCAAAGCCCTGAGTGATACAGTGATACAGTATCCCCCTGTACCCCATCAAGCATCATGTGATGTGCTTTGGTGCCTTGTCGCTGTGTTACCCATTCACGGGACTTTAGAATCCATTTTATGAAGAACAAACGACCATAAAGGACCGCATGATGGCGAAGGGGCTCATCAGGTCATTGCGCCGTCTCCACAGCAGTTTTTGGCTAAACGCTGACGAAGGCAATACTGTACTTCATCCGATGCCCTCACCGGATCCTACAAATGCGAACAATTTTTATGTAAGACATTTTCATCAAATAAAGGCACAAGTAGCTTCACTATTTACATCTGTTTTTTGTAAACCTTCCCATGTTTTGTATATCCCACGATAATTCCTGGACTTTTTGTTAATCGTGTTAGAAAATATGAAGAATGAGAGGGGGCAGAAACCTCAGAGGTACCAATAGAAAATGGCCAACCTGGTCAACGATTATATGATTTACTTTCTCCGACATACATGCCATATTCGTAACAGCCCATGCTGCATTGACTCGTGTCTCAACTGGGTGCGATTCATTCGATATTATTCGTAGAAGAAGTGAGACCTATAGAAATCACTGAATCTTCTTGAGTCAGCTTTACGCCTTCGTCATTTTCCTTAGCTCCCTCATAGAAGCTGCATCGCAAGAGATTTTCACAACGATGCACCCGTTTGAAGAAGGTGTAGACATACCCTTTTGTATATTGACTTACATTATTCCAAAACATTCAAAGACTCACTAAACGAGTGTACTTCTCCGGATCTGGCGTCTCATTGGGTAGATCCGTTGTGAATATACGTCGAAAGTAAAGGGCACTCGCTGCCTGAAGTATACAGTCTATTACCATTGCAAAGCTAAAGTGGAATATAACATTTTGCATACTTTTAGAACCCTCGTCACACATTCCTTAATTCATACTAAATTACTTTCACTTGTAATGCAGGTCCTGGGTGGAGGTGGTATAGTGGCAAGTGGCGCATTTCACACGCAGACGGGCGAGGGTTCGAGTCCCGATCGATATCCGCCTAGGATAACTAAGCCTTCCATCGCTCCGGGGTCGGTCAATTGGTAACAGACTCGTCTGGGAGGACAAAAGCATTGACTTGTACATCGGTTGGCCACCGCAAGTCTTTGTATAGGACACGTACGCATCCAATCCACGACTACTATTCTGAATGGAAGTAGAGTGCGTGGGCGCATCCCTCAAACGGGTTTGATCAACGCCCCAGGACTTAATCCTCTATTGTTCTATTATAAATGCCATGTCTGTGCATGAAGCTCAAATACACACTCGAATGGATCGTGGATCGACGCATGCGGCGCTTGGACGCTTGGATAGTTAGTATCTCAAGGGCCAATCGACCCGTGTGGCATTGCATTGTGCTCACCACGACCACTTTATTCTGTGCTTTTCGGTGAGTTCCCTGCCTCGATCGTAACATTATCCGAACTAGATGCCTTCCCAACATTCACCTTTCCTATTGCTCTACGGACCTTATCCTTTGCCCTGAATTTGTTGGAGGCAGCCGTCGTCCTCAGTAGGGGGCTGTTCTCACGATCGAATTCTTCGTCTGAGAACATGACAGAGCATTCCATCCACCTACGCGTGACCTCACCAGGCTTCCTCAATATTGCATTCTCGCTGTTCTTAACGGATTTCACTACTCCGATGTCTCAAGTAGTCTGGTGTCGCGTTCCGCGAGTCTGAATACGAGCTTCTCTCCTCACCCACCGTGTTTCTCGTATAAGGCGTATATTCCCGTACTCTTTTGCTTCGCTACCCCGTCTTGGCGCCTCCTGGAAGTTCTGTAGACAGCTAGATCTTCTAAAGCTCATGTCCTTGGCCAGTAGTTGTACGCAGATTTCTTCTGCCTCACAACTCGCTGGACTTTATCTTTCTAGAACCCTGCCTCCTTATTTCCTCGGAATCCACCTCGAGTTTTGCTCCAAGTCTGCGGGACCCTTCAGTATCTATAAGTCCAGTCTCCAGTATCTTCTCTTTAAGGTGTTCTCGTTTCATTCACTGCAGCTCCCGCCACCGGATCCTCCGTTCCGAACTTGCCTTCGATTTCTTGGGAAGATCGACGCGGTGTCTGCTAGGAAAGGCCTGCGCTGTAGACCAAATATTCGCCAGGCAGTACTTGGTGTCCTCTACAGTTCTGCGGGATGATCTTCTTAAAGGCACCTATCACAAAAAAGTTAGGGTACCCTTTTCTGACGGGAATTGATAGAACTACTCTAGAATAAAGCGATAACAACGAAAAAAGCGCAAAAAATGACGAACAAAAAGAATTAAAAAGGGCCAAAAAAAGAGCTGGAAAGGGGGTTGGACGAGTTTCACAGTGAAAGAACGTCGGTTAGAGAGTGTTCGGGCAAGTTGGCAAATTGCCAGGGACGGCAAATTGGCAACTTGCCAGTGACGCAATGTGTTGTCTGCAATAGCATGCAACACATTGCGTCCCTGGCAATTTGCCAATTTGCAATTCAGGGTGGGTCCTGGCGCGATTACATGACACTGTGTTGTCTCGACACTCGTCTAACGTGACACCGATCAAGGGGCGGAGGGCGACCGTGGATACCTCTCCGGCCCCTTTTTGTGCCCTATCCAGCCGTTTTCCGACCTCATTCCTGCACAAATGGTTTCAGAGGGGGCTTCGAATTCAAACCATGTGCAAATCTCCGAAACCACTTTTTCGTAAACAGTGCCTTTAAGAGTACACAGTCTATTCTGTTGCTTTCCATTTATTACTATAGGTTATTTTCTGAGCTTTCCTTCTCG